TCGAAGGGTGGCTGAGTTTGTGAAAATGCCGGGTTATCGGGAATGGGGTTAAAAAAAATAAGTATGAGTGTTTCCTCAGAAAATACTGTACTGTACTTTGTATGTATTGTTTACTTGAGAATACAACAGAGAATAAACTGCCCAAATACCCTTAAATAAAGGAAAAGTACGTTCTTTATGAAGGCATAGAGCCTTTACTACATGAAAATGAAAATTAATGAATACACTGTGTACAGTAATTTACCTGATAAGACAGACCTCAGAAAAATACTTTATGAGAGCTTTTATACTTTTATAAAGCTGTCTATAATGAAAATTAATTAACTAAGGATTTTTTTGCCATGCCAGGGTGTGGCCGAGTTATCTGGAGTGCCGAGTTTTCGAGACTCTACTGTATTTAAATTAATAATTTTCATTTACATTAGAAAAACAATTAACATTGTTTTAGTTTGCATTTAAAAGTGGTATAATAATTGCCTTAGAAAGCTGCCCAGTGTCCTGCTATTTTTAAGTTAAAATAATTTGAACTAAATATGGACAATATATTTGGGAAAACATTATATTTACTGTTCAGTTATACACTATTCAGATTAGTTTTTTCTATCTTGTTAAAAGTAGGAATATTTTATTATATTTTATAATTTTTACCTGTTTTCATTAGAAAACAGTTCTTGAAGTAAAGTGAAAGCATTAACTAGATTTGACTTATTAATTTTTACATTACTATGCAGTTTTAAAATACTCCTTAAATATCATAAAGGGAAATTATAAATAAGTGATTATATAAATTAGTGATGGTATGATTAATCAGAATTGGAAAACTGAGGCATTTGCTGGTAATTGGAATCAAGCAAATCTCATTATGATTTCCGATTCTTATAAATGATTCTTCCATATTTGTAAGAAAATTAGTTTTGTTTCAGTTGAAGATTAAAAATTTTAATATTAGTTTATTGGAAACTTTCATGTCCACTAAGCAGAGAGTGCATGATGCCCCATATATGAGGTGACGTCTGTCATGGCAGGCTTTTATGTAGTCAGAGTGATGAGAGAGAACACTTCACGTTTTTAGGGGATAGGTGACTTTAGGGTTGCCATTTGGCCAGCTTAACTAGCAATCTGTATTCTGTATGTAAGTATATTAAGAGCAAAATGTTCTGTCACTGCCACACACAAATAACAAATTTAAAAATTGATTTTATTTTATTTTTAGTTTTAAGTTTTGGTATAAAGACCCAGAGTTTTAATTATTATTTTTAAATTTAATTGTTATTACTAATTTCTATTTAATTTAATTTTGCATTAATTTTGCCTGCATTTTTGAACTGTTAATTACATTTTTGTAATTACTTGCAATTCTTTTTACTTTCCCCATTGTTATAACAGAGGGAAAGTATGCCAATCTGGTAAAAAAATGACCCCCCCCCAGATTTTTACATTTTTGAACTCAGGACCTTGAAAAGTCAAGAAATGCAAAAAATTTGGGATTTCTTTTCTCCTGTGTGTATGTATATTAGTGTAGGGGAATGATTCTGTTCATCTTCTTTGAAGCTTAATAACTTCTGTGTTTTTCGTCAAAAATTTCTGAAATTTTGCCGCAAGGTTTGTTTATTAGGGGAATTGAAGCTATTAAATTTTGGTGATTAAATGTCGAGGGGATGGGGAGATAATGTGGGTTGTGTATCTTCAGTAGGATTGGAATTAATGATGATTTTACTTCTTATTACCATTTACAGTTTTTTATGAAACTCATCCCCAACCTCAAAATTATGCTTTTTGCCATTTTATAATAGTTAAAAATATGAAAAGTTTTTAATAAAATATGATAACAGATGACACACTGAAATTTTAAATGTTGCTGGGAAAGTTGAGCAACTCATTGCAAGTTTATTTTCTTTTGTGATATAACTATAGAAATTGGTTGTGTTGTTTCACACAAAAGATAATCAACTTTAAATTTATTATAAATTCTATAGTATCTTCATTAATTTTTGTTTTATAAATTTGCCTCTCTTTAGAAATTTAAGAAATTGTTATAAGCGAGTTAATATTGATTAAACCAGTGATGGGCAAATTTTTTAAAGAGCGGGCCAAAGGAAAAGAAGAAAACTTTAGCCGGGCGAATATAATGGTAACCTAGCGCTGCATCTGAAAATCCAGGTGGCGCTATAAAAACATGTGCAGGCCGTCTGCCATATTTCTTTTTCTCTCTTTCGGCTACGCTACGCACGACAAGTGGATGTTCTGTACCGAAGCATACTTGTAACTGATCGAGCTTTTACTCAATAAGTGTAAAACAAAATTTTGTACATGATTGTAAATAAACTTTCATGGTGAGATATAAAGCTTCGGTTATTTTATATAANCTGACATTGGGCCAGCTTGACTGGCAATTTCAAATCAAGGCCAGCAGTCAGCAAAAATATTTAAGTGTCAGAAAAACAGTATAAAATATAAACAAAATTATATTTTAATTGAAAAAATGTAATATAAAATTTATTTTTAATATTTAGTACATTTTACTTATAATGATAAAATGACTTTCTCATTATAATCACGAAAGGTTTTGATATGATTCATGGATTATGCTGTAATAAGCTTACATTAAATTTTCAAATGCGATTTGTGCTATTCTGAGTAAAAATACTTGTTTGTGTAAGTTTATTGCCATTTTGGGTTTTAAAAATTGATTTTTCAAGATGAGTCAGTCTTGACATTTGTGGCTCAAGTGAAGCAATTCAAAAATTGGTTAACTTGTGATATTTGTTCAGCTTGTTGCATCACTTGCCGAACCTTGTTTAGTGTTAAATATGATGAAATTAAAGCATTTACAAGACAATTGCGAAAAGCATGAAAAAATAAGTGCATCTTCTCATTTATCTTCCTCCCCAGTCATCACATCAGCCAATAAAGCAGTTTCCAAAGATTACAACCCTATATGACATGATGGGCTAGTTCTTTTGAGTAAAAGGGAATTAGCTGTAATTTCTTGGGGGTAGTGTTGCAATACAGTAGAGCATCGATTATCCGAATACTGGTTAATGAAAAGTGTTCCAGTCAGAAAATTCAAATTTTCACTAGTGCTGTGGCATCACAATATTTGGCTATGTCTTGGTCTACTCCAATATTATTTTTGTTGATGTGCATGTTTTAGCTGGCAGCATGGCGTGACCATGAAAGGATACATAAGGATGCATCAGTATTTGAACGCAGCTTTTTTTCCCCCATCGTGAGTGGTGAATTTTGCTTGTTTGGTGTTTTTCTAGAACTGTGTGTCATGCTGAATCGGAATGTTTCTGATACTACATTAAATTCCAAAACAAATTTTTTTTTTGTTTTTATATTTTTCAATGTATTTATTTTGTTTGTGCCAAAATAAAGAAATAGTTTTGAACAATACAATAGCCACAATTATTATTTTAAAAAATTTTGTTAGGCTTAACATTGATGAAAATTCACCTTGTGTAAAGGTTCCTCCTCACCAGGTATTGGTACAATATATAAAATATTCACTATAAACCTGTGAGTAGCCTTTGAGATGAAAATTCAACACGAAGCAACATGCAGCGGAGAAAGATTTCAACATTGGGATAGGTTAATATATTTTTTAATACATGATCAGTTATCCAAACAACCCCCAATCCTGAATTGTTTCAGATAATCAATGCTCTACTGTATTAACTTTATCTGAAATAAAATAACAAATTTGTTTTGTAGTGCACAATAAAAGCAAGCATATCCACATAATGGAGAATTTTCATGTTTTTTTGAAAGATTGATTCTAGATTTTCCAATCATTTTCCATTCTTAAGTTTGATGCTTATTAATTAATGAATGTACCATGCTTGTAATGTAATCATTAATTTTTCTAAACTAAAATAAACTTTAGAAAGTCTTCAAAAGAATCAGAATCAGGAATCTTACTGGAATAGAGAGTTTTCAGCAGAATTGGAATCGGAAGAAATTTTGGTATCATTCCATCACTAGTATAAATACTCCTTTAATTTTTTTTCTTTTAAACACTGGGTTATGTGTATATAATGGTTATACTACAGCAAAAGCATATAAAATATATCACTTTTATTGAGATATTAACAGTACAGCATATTTTATTAGCACAAAAAGAGACTTGGGAAATAGGATCTGTAGGATACAAAGCAATTACTAAAAATCGTTAGTTATCTAAGTAAGAACTATTATTTCATCAAGGTAATAGTCAACACATTAAGCTGTACTAAACATCTTCAGTAAAATATTAATAACATAACTTCATAACAAGACTGTTACATGTGGTATATGATGATGATAGAACTTTATACTATACTTTTGCTTGTGTTCTGCCATTTGCATCAATAGTGTAAACAAACAGCCCATAGTGCCACTAAAATCTTGCAGCAAACTTTGAAATAATAAAATTTTTTTTTATAAGTTCTGTCTTTTATGTTAAATAAGTTCATCAAACCATTTATAATTGAAAGTGTTCAGGGTAATCTGCTAGTAAGTGGTATGACAATTTGAAGCACTATCCCATTTGTTTATCACTATGTAGTAAAGGTTCACATTTTATGCTTGGCATATCAATCATTGCCTAGTTTTGGAAATGTTTTAAGTGAAAAGAAAAAAAGTCAACTTATATACTACCATATGTGGTAAGGTTTAGAAAAACTTTCAAAATTTAAATATTCTCTCATTTATTAAGCATTTAAAAATTAATTATTATTTTATATTGAAAGTGTGATTGGATTTGTAAGGCAGTGGTTTCCAAAGTGTGCGCCACGGCTTCCTCACGGGTGCCACAAAATGTTATAAAATTTTTATAATGTTAGAATATAATGTACTTGTTGGAATTTGACACAGGGCACCTTGGGAAAATCTGCATTTAGCAAGGATGCCTAGAATCAAAAAAGTTTGGAACCACTGGAGTAAGGGGATTATCACATTTTATTTATAATATATATATATATTATAAATAAATTAAAAGTTTATATATTTTAAAATAAGGAAAATGGACCACCACCTGATCCAGTCAATTTCCTTGCTGATCCCTATCGAGATGGTAGAGATGGTACAAATGCTAATACCAATCATGCAGTTGCTCGCACCAATCGACGTCATTATACTAATTATGGTGGACAAGATTTCCAGAATGTTAAACATCTTATGAAAGAACAAAGAAAATATGAAAGGGTAAGGATGCTGTTTTATCTAAAAAGAAAATTTTTCAAATCTTGAACTTTATTCTTTGCAAATATGAATACAAAAACAAAGTAGTCCAGTCTATTTTCAGTTTTTTCTAATCTATATGTATAAAAATGAAGTTTTGCTGGCTTGTCCTTTAAACAAATGTTTATTCTTAAACTGATCTGGACCAAAGTTTATATGAGTATTACTTAGAATTGACACTAAGCTATATACTACCCCAAAATATCAACTTTTTCATCAGACTTTTTTCTGCCTTTACATGTATTGCCATCTGTTGGAGAAAATGATTGTTGTTGGTTTGTTGAATAATAATTTAGCACTAGTCTATAAATAATTGAATTTTAATTGATTTTTGAAAATGCCATCAAAAAAGAGCTTTGATTGCCCAAAAGAGTGCAGAAACAAAACAAAAAGGTCATTAAGAAATAGTGAAAGTATTGAAGATTGTGAAGCCCATCTTGAAAAACTGCTTGGAGAATGTGTCAATTGATGGCCAAACTGAATTTACAAATCTTCCAGGAACTTTCATGATGTACAGTACAAGTCCATTGATTCCATTTTCAAAACAGATCAGATATTTATTAACAAGTTAAAATTTATGATATGACACAAATCTTGTGATAATTCTAAAGATATGAAAAACTTTAAAATTCTTCCTCAAGAAGTTAAAAATTGCCTATTAGAATTGTTTGTTATTCTTGAGTATTATGTGGAGAACATACAAAACAAATGATCTTGGCTTTTGTTAAATATTTTAATTTGGAACAAATATTTCATTACTATACCTTTAAAATATACCATGACCTTATATTTGGATATAAGATCATACTTTTATAGATGAGTCAAAATTGACTATATTCTGCAAAGTACTTAAAAAAACTCAATTTTTAAAAAATTTTTATAGTATTGGAAGTATTTTTTTTATTCTTAATAATGATTACCAGAAATGTCACTGAATAGTTAATTTTTAAGTAATTTTACATGTGCATAAAAGTGCAGTGCACATGTAAAATTACATAGCAGTGCAGTGGTCTTATGAGTGAAAACAAACTGGCACACTTATGAGTATGCTCTTATAAATGAAATAAAAATGCAAAAACAATTTTCACATGTAAGAAGTAATACTTCATTTGCACAGTAGTATTGTATTTTTAATACAATAGACCTTTTGATAGACCTTTTTGATAGACCTTTCTAGTAGTATTGTATTTTTAATACAATACTACTAGAAAGGTCTATCAAATAATTCATAGAAAAACACGATGTACAGAAAACAAAACTTGTATTTCTAAAATTTTTTTACATATGTAGCTTTCAACTCTAAACACTTCTCACAGCAATGTTTCCACCATTCCAATCCATTTCTGTAAAATTCTGCATAATGGAATCACTTTGTTTTGCCTTATAAAGTGACTCCCTTCAAATGTTCCTATAACTTTTAGGGAAAAAACAATTTCAGAGGCCAATCTGGACTGTAGGGAGGATGCGATAATAGTTTCCAGTTGAATTCATGCAGTACAGATGAAGAATCTTTTGAAGAATGTGCAGGTGCATTGTCTTGATGAAACAAGATTTGTTTGTGAAACTTTCCTGGCTGTTTTTTCTTTATTCTTCCTTTAATTTGTGCAAAACTTTAGCATAATAGCTTCCTGTAACAGTTCTCTATCAAACTGTTCAGCTTTGATTGTTTTATTTTCAATTACCTGATATATATTATTGAAAACTTCGTTAATTAATATGCATCTATGTCCTTAATTTAAGGTCAGGTAATTGAAAATAAAACAATTTTAATCTGTGTAACTGTGAGTCTGCAATCTTGTACACCAGTATGATAAGTCCTATTAATAGAAATACACTGATATAGTGATTAAAAGAATAATTTTGTTCAGCTTTGAGTTTAATTGGACCTGAAAATACTTTTGGAAGCCATCATTTTGATTGTATTTTATTTTCTGGATCTTAATGGTAAATCCATGTCTCATCTCCAGTTAGTAAGTGGTGATAAGTTTTCAGAATCAGTCTAACCAATTAGAAATTCAACAGAATGCTTATGTTAAATGTGTTTATGGTCTAATGCTTTTGGTACTTATCACAGAAAATCTCATCAGTCTTAAAATGATCAGAGATAATTGATTGAGTTCTTCTATAAGAGATATTTGGTCTTGTAGCTATCTCATGTAGGGATACTTAACAATCTTCTGCTTTTATCAATTGAATATTGGCCACAGTTTACTCATTGATTGAGATTGAAGGCTTTCTAGGCACTCATTGTCTGTAATGTCCTGCACTCTTGGAAACACTTCATCCACTCATAAACTGTACAGAAACTGTTACTTTGGAACATCCTCCCCATAAACTGTTTCACGAACGATATCTGATGCTTTCCATGTCAGTTTTGTATAAAACTTAACCACCATACCACCATAGAATTTTTAAAATTCAAAAGAATTTTTTTTTTTTTTTTTTTTGCTTCATTCTGTAGTTTTAATGTTGCTGCTCTGCTTTGATAGTGTCACAACTAAAACAATGATCCTGCTTTTTTGCATAGGTAAACTTACGAGTTATACTACTTTCTTTTTATCATGTAAAATTCTTTATTTCTACCTCTATTAGCAAAGCAATGATAGTTTTCAAACCCTGCAATAAGCTTTTTTATGACAATGTTTATAAAGTAGTTACGACAACTTTCTTCAAATTAATTGCTATACTCTGTTTCTAAACTTTAAGTATTTTTTACTTGTTAAACATATTTTTTTAAATAAAGTTTTATACTACAGTTGTATCTAAGTTTATATTTCTTTGCTTATGCTTTCATTTCATTTGATTAAGATCATAATAATGTAATATTGAATTATTAGCAGCTGGATCAGTTAAACTAGAAATATTAGCATTTGATTTTAGTAAAAATTTTTCCAAATTGCAATAAATTATTTTGGAAATTTTTTTTATTGCTCTTATTTTTTATGTAGATATTTTTCTAAATACTCTTATATGCAAACTGATTTTTAGCTGGATTAAAAAGTGAATAAAATATATTGTTAATATATAATTATTCTTACAAATTTACATAACAAATTATATACACTCACAACTGCCGCAAATGCTCGGGCTACCTTTGGATACAATGATTATATCCAAATTTAGCCCGATCATTTGCAGCTGTTGTGGGTGTATATAATATGATTCAACAGAAATATCTAATGGGAAATAATAATAATAATAATTCTCATAAATTAGATCTTACATCTGCATGTGATAAAAATCAGATGGGTTAAAATAAAATTAAGGAAAAATACAAAAAAAAGTTTAGTTTTTAATTAGAAAATTAATTTTTTCTGTTGTTAAATTTTTATACATAGCAACATCCTCCAACAACAAACACTAACATAATGTTACAAATGACTGGAAAAGAAAGAAAAGAATATGAAAATTGGAAGGCCGAACGATTAAAAATAGATGAAGAGAGAATTGCAAGACAATTAACTTCTTCGGGATCTTGGAAGAGAGAATGGGATTTAAATAAAATTGAAGAGTATATATATATGTGTTTTTTTTCTGCTAAGTATTATTATGTTATACTATATAATTTCTTATTATTTTATTTAGAGATAGAGATGTTCAAAAAACTGAGAATGTTTATTATAAACAACCAAGATGGCTCACAGAACCTGGTAAGGAAATTTTTTAATATTTTATTTATATATTCTGTTTGATTTCAATACTTAATTGAAAATAAGGAAGAAACTTTAAAATATAACATTATAATAGAAGATTATACAAAGAATTCTGTTAAAAATAATTTGACAACTGTTTTTCATTAATTTTAATGAAATTTAATGTGCTGATAGTTTTTAAATACTGCTAGTTTCTATATTTTATTAGTAGTTGAATTTGCACATTCATAAATTTAATACTATTAAATACATAGATGTAAATATATGTGAGAACTATGATGATTAAGACCTTATATGAATCAGGTTTAATAAGTAATCTCAAAAGTACTGTAAAAAATATTTCAGCAGATATGCATGGGGTTATGTTATAGAGCAGTCTTGTTGCACATAATGACCAAGTTAGCAGGGATATCAAGAGTGTTGCCAGGCCATGGGATGAAATTCACACTGTCCTGTGGTTAATTAGTATGTAAAAAAGCAAGTTGTGAGACGATGTCAGGGCTCTGTAAATCCGTGGGCCTGAAGAATTTTACCTCGTCAGCCCTGCAAGTCAGATCATGTATTGTATGCACTGCAACATTAGTACAGCCAGTACAAGATGGTGGCACCTCTAGCTGTTTGTATCAAGAAAGAACAGTGTTTTATTTCTGTTTTATCACAATTGAAGGCATAAAACTCAGACATCCATATTGTCTGAACATAATGGTAGAAGGTTTTGCTTATCCCTGCAGCAAGCCTACAAATGGAGCTAATAAGCTTGAGAACAATAAGGTAAGTATGACTAACTCATCATAGTCAGCCAATTGCAAGAAGGTATCACACTCCATGCAATTGAACTGCACATGAGTCAATTCAGGAAAATTAACAGTGTACCACAGAATTTCAATCGGCTCTTTCTAATCTCATCTTCAAAATCTCAGTCAGTTCTTTCATAAAAGAAAGAACTGACTGAGATTTTGAAGATGAGTGTTGACTCAGTGCACTGCATCATCTACAATTTGTTGATACAGTAGAGCGTCGTTTATTCGAAAGCTGGTTATCTGAAACGTCTGTTATCCGAAAGCATTCCAGTCGGCAAATTTAAATTTTCGCTAGTGCTGTGGCGCTGCAATCTTCGGCTATTTCTTGGGTTACTCAAATATTTTACGTTTTTGATACTAAATTAACATCTGAAGTATAAGTTTTTATTGTTTTTATATTTTTCAATATATTTATTTTGTTTGTACAAAATAAAAAAATAATTTTTAACGATACAATAGTCTTCGTTAGGCTAACATTGATGAAAATTCAACGCAAAGTGACACGCAACGGAAAAAAGTTTCAACACGGGATAAATTAATATATTTTTTTGTACATGATTCGTTATCCGAAAAATAAGTTATCCGAACCACCCCAGTCCCCAATTGATTCGGATAAATGATGTTCTACTGTATATGCAAAACTGGCAAGTATGTATAAAAGCAGTTGATGCTGGAAATGAAAGAATTGTGATTTTATTTAAGTGATGTTTGCATGAAGGAAGATTAGTTACTTCATAAAAACTTAAGATTACTTATTGAACCATGCTTGTATTTTTAATTTGTTAAATGGAATAACCAGATTTGCTTTTTAAAGTGTCAGATTGTTTTTATCTATTTAATCTAGTACCAAATATTCATTTATATTTAGTTTATCTACAGAATTCTTCAAAACATTAACTTTGATGTTCCTTGATCTATTAGTCTAAATCAGTGTTTCTTAACGGGGGTAATGTCACCCCATGTGGGCGTTTTTCCATGTTGAGAGGATGATTAATAACAATTTATATTTTGGGGAGTGAAAAACAATTTTCTGGGTGATATAGTAAAACATTATATTAAGAATAATTAGATATATTATTCGTTATATCATACAATAATTAAGCAAATAACAAAAATTAAAACCTTTAAACAATCCAGCAAATCGTTTTTTAATATCTTAAAAACGCTTTCGAATGCTTTAAGCAATCATCCTCAGTTATCATTCCAAATCGAATGAAGGATTCAAAATTTCGTAAAACAATACATATAATATTTCATAATATATATAAACAAATAACATACTAGTCACTAGTCTATTCAATGCAGTACGAATTTGGCATTAGTCTTGGCCTTCGGCATCGGAATTTTGTAGTTAAGGGGGTGATACTACGTAACGGTTTTACTGAAGGGTGCGACGATTCGTTAGAGGTTGAGAAACACTGGTCTAAATCATGTATTATTTAATATTTTAGATTTAGCTTCTGGCCATCTTTGGTGGTCTAACATCAACACTTTATATCATTTCATACCTTTTTGTGTATAGATTAAATAATTGATTACTCGTTAAATAATAATTTTAGGAAATTAATAATCATAAAATAAAATAATGCATTATTTCTAATTATATTAAGAAAATTCATAATAGACATCTTTAAATATAGGTAAATGGTGCTTAATATCAACTATTCAACAATATAATAGTTTATAAGATACAGTGAGAGATCGGTTAACGAACATAATCCGTTCCAAGACTTTGTTTGCTATTCAAATTGTTCGTTAACGGATTATTGATTTACCATAGGTTTCTATGGGAATTTGATTAATTCGTTCTGGAGACTCCCAAAAAATAAAAAATATATACTTTCTTACTACGTTTATTCATATATAATAATAAAAATACATATATACACAGTTTTGCATTTTTAATAGTCATGTTTTTTTCCGTTTGAAAGGGTTAAAGAATCTGTCTAATGTCGATTGCTTTTCTCTCTTCTTCAGGATTTTTCGTAAATAATTAACAGCATAACAATTGTAGAAATCCCCAAGCTTCAACCTGGTTTGGATGCGATTNAGTGAATAAAATATATTGTTAATATATAATTATTCTTACAAATTTACATAACAAATTATATACACTCACAACTGCCGCAAATGCTCGGGCTACCTTTGGATACAATGATTATATCCAAATTTAGCCCGATCATTTGCAGCTGTTGTGGGTGTATATAATATGATTCAACAGAAATATCTAATGGGAAATAATAATAATAATAATTCTCATAAATTAGATCTTACATCTGCATGTGATAAAAATCAGATGGGTTAAAATAAAATTAAGGAAAAATACAAAAAAAAGTTTAGTTTTTAATTAGAAAATTAATTTTTTCTGTTGTTAAATTTTTATACATAGCAACATCCTCCAACAACAAACACTAACATAATGTTACAAATGACTGGAAAAGAAAGAAAAGAATATGAAAATTGGAAGGCCGAACGATTAAAAATAGATGAAGAGAGAATTGCAAGACAATTAACTTCTTCGGGATCTTGGAAGAGAGAATGGGATTTAAATAAAATTGAAGAGTATATATATATGTGTTTTTTTTCTGCTAAGTATTATTATGTTATACTATATAATTTCTTATTATTTTATTTAGAGATAGAGATGTTCAAAAAACTGAGAATGTTTATTATAAACAACCAAGATGGCTCACAGAACCTGGTAAGGAAATTTTTTAATATTTTATTTATATATTCTGTTTGATTTCAATACTTAATTGAAAATAAGGAAGAAACTTTAAAATATAACATTATAATAGAAGATTATACAAAGAATTCTGTTAAAAATAATTTGACAACTGTTTTTCATTAATTTTAATGAAATTTAATGTGCTGATAGTTTTTAAATACTGCTAGTTTCTATATTTTATTAGTAGTTGAATTTGCACATTCATAAATTTAATACTATTAAATACATAGATGTAAATATATGTGAGAACTATGATGATTAAGACCTTATATGAATCAGGTTTAATAAGTAATCTCAAAAGTACTGTAAAAAATATTTCAGCAGATATGCATGGGGTTATGTTATAGAGCAGTCTTGTTGCACATAATGACCAAGTTAGCAGGGATATCAAGAGTGTTGCCAGGCCATGGGATGAAATTCACACTGTCCTGTGGTTAATTAGTATGTAAAAAAGCAAGTTGTGAGACGATGTCAGGGCTCTGTAAATCCGTGGGCCTGAAGAATTTTACCTCGTCAGCCCTGCAAGTCAGATCATGTATTGTATGCACTGCAACATTAGTACAGCCAGTACAAGATGGTGGCACCTCTAGCTGTTTGTATCAAGAAAGAACAGTGTTTTATTTCTGTTTTATCACAATTGAAGGCATAAAACTCAGACATCCATATTGTCTGAACATAATGGTAGAAGGTTTTGCTTATCCCTGCAGCAAGCCTACAAATGGAGCTAATAAGCTTGAGAACAATAAGGTAAGTATGACTAACTCATCATAGTCAGCCAATTGCAAGAAGGTATCACACTCCATGCAATTGAACTGCACATGAGTCAATTCAGGAAAATTAACAGTGTACCACAGAATTTCAATCGGCTCTTTCTAATCTCATCTTCAAAATCTCAGTCAGTTCTTTCATAAAAGAAAGAACTGACTGAGATTTTGAAGATGAGTGTTGACTCAGTGCACTGCATCATCTACAATTTGTTGATACAGTAGAGCGTCGTTTATTCGAAAGCTGGTTATCTGAAACGTCTGTTATCCGAAAGCATTCCAGTCGGCAAATTTAAATTTTCGCTAGTGCTGTGGCGCTGCAATCTTCGGCTATTTCTTGGGTTACTCAAATATTTTACGTTTTTGATACTAAATTAACATCTGAAGTATAAGTTTTTATTGTTTTTATATTTTTCAATATATTTATTTTGTTTGTACAAAATAAAAAAATAATTTTTAACGATACAATAGTCTTCGTTAGGCTAACATTGATGAAAATTCAACGCAAAGTGACACGCAACGGAAAAAAGTTTCAACACGGGATAAATTAATATATTTTTTTGTACATGATTCGTTATCCGAAAAATAAGTTATCCGAACCACCCCAGTCCCCAATTGATTCGGATAAATGATGTTCTACTGTATATGCAAAACTGGCAAGTATGTATAAAAGCAGTTGATGCTGGAAATGAAAGAATTGTGATTTTATTTAAGTGATGTTTGCATGAAGGAAGATTAGTTACTTCATAAAAACTTAAGATTACTTATTGAACCATGCTTGTATTTTTAATTTGTTAAATGGAATAACCAGATTTGCTTTTTAAAGTGTCAGATTGTTTTTATCTATTTAATCTAGTACCAAATATTCATTTATATTTAGTTTATCTACAGAATTCTTCAAAACATTAACTTTGATGTTCCTTGATCTATTAGTCTAAATCAGTGTTTCTTAACGGGGGTAATGTCACCCCATGTGGGCGTTTTTCCATGTTGAGAGGATGATTAATAACAATTTATATTTTGGGGAGTGAAAAACAATTTTCTGGGTGATATAGTAAAACATTATATTAAGAATAATTAGATATATTATTCGTTATATCATACAATAATTAAGCAAATAACAAAAATTAAAACCTTTAAACAATCCAGCAAATCGTTTTTTAATATCTTAAAAACGCTTTCGAATGCTTTAAGCAATCATCCTCAGTTATCATTCCAAATCGAATGAAGGATTCAAAATTTCGTAAAACAATACATATAATATTTCATAATATATATAAACAAATAACATACTAGTCACTAGTCTATTCAATGCAGTACGAATTTGGCATTAGTCTTGGCCTTCGGCATCGGAATTTTGTAGTTAAGGGGGTGATACTACGTAACGGTTTTACTGAAGGGTGCGACGATTCGTTAGAGGTTGAGAAACACTGGTCTAAATCATGTATTATTTAATATTTTAGATTTAGCTTCTGGCCATCTTTGGTGGTCTAACATCAACACTTTATATCATTTCATACCTTTTTGTGTATAGATTAAATAATTGATTACTCGTTAAATAATAATTTTAGGAAATTAATAATCATAAAATAAAATAATGCATTATTTCTAATTATATTAAGAAAATTCATAATAGACATCTTTAAATATAGGTAAATGGTGCTTAATATCAACTATTCAACAATATAATAGTTTATAAGATACAGTGAGAGATCGGTTAACGAACATAATCCGTTCCAAGACTTTGTTTGCTATTCAAATTGTTCGTTAACGGATTATTGATTTACCATAGGTTTCTATGGGAATTTGATTAATTCGTTCTGGAGACTCCCAAAAAATAAAAAATATATACTTTCTTACTACGTTTATTCATATATAATTTTAAAAATACATATAAATATGGTCTTGCATTTTTATTTGTCATGTTTTTTCTGTTTGTGGGGGTTAAAGAATCTGTCCAATGTCGATTGCTTCTCTGTCTTCATGATTTTTCAGAAGTAATTAATCGCATTGTAATTGTAGAGATCCCTAAGCCTATTAACTAACCTGGTTTGGATGCCATTTTAAGACCGTTGTTCTGACGACATCCCACTTCTTCAAAAGATCTTTAATAGCAGATATCGGCATAAATCCGCTTTTTTAGAAGAAAACATAAAAGAATTGTTTCTATCAGAAATATAAAAGGCTGGAATTACAAGGGAGTGTTTCAAAGTTTGGGGGAATACTATCCGATCAGTATATACTGGGTTGAATGTCTATGTTGACATCTCCTACACACCGAAAAGTTTCGAATTGTTGCCTGAAGACAAAGGAAGACCAATCGGTATTTGTTATTTTACGTCACTTCTTCTTGTGTTTGTTCAGTGAAGTGTTCATTATCCGAACATGTGTTCATTGTCCGATCGTAAAAATCTTTTGCAAAAGTTTTTGTTATCCAATCACCCACTGTATTGAGTGTTAAACTGTAACACATTGTAAGACAAAATATTTTGTTATTTTTGATATTTTTTTAGATATATTTGATGGTTTTCCCTTACTTTAATTACATGCATATATAAGTAAAGCTACATTGGTGTACTCTCCATGGAAAAAGAACAAAGTTGTGATGTGTTGCTATCAGTTATGAGTATGTATCTTCAAATAAACAGTAATACACATTGTTGCAAATAATCATTTTTTTCTGCAATATATTTTTAACAATATTTTACTTGTGAATTTTAAATTCAATATAAAAAGAATTAATGATCCATTTATTGTCTGTCAGCAATACTTTGTCATAAGTGATCATCTTGCATATTTAGGTTTTTGGAATTTGATTTGAACAGCACTTAATGAAATGTAATCATATCTTCTGGTCTGATCTGTTCTTGTTATAGCAGAAGGATACAATATAGATCTTAAGTATGGCTTTGTTCCTTTTCCTTTAGAGACTATAAACAGTGTTAACAGCTGGATTTAATGTTTTTTTTTTTTTTTTTTTTTAAATATCAATATATTAAATTCATGAATGGGTTTAAATTTATAGATTATCATATTAAATTTAATTTAATGCTATTTAAATTAATTTCAAGTGTATTATTATAGTTTTTAATGTACCTTATTATATAATTTTATCACCTTTTTTAATAAGTTAATTTAAAGAAGAAATGTAATTTAAGCACTTAATTTTCTAATTTTTTAAAAATTAATTGTTCTGTATTATTTTAAGGTAATAAAGAAGGTATGAAAGGAAATCAAAACAGTTTCAATCCAATTGTTGTTGATTCTGGTACTGAATCCGAAGCTAAAAATAAAGATAGATCAGTTGTTGTAAATGAAAACAATTCATTAACTATTGTAAGAAGTTCTGAAGTTAAAGATTCGTCTTTTGTTTCAAAAGGATTTAAAGACTTACAAAAAAATCAGGAAGAAAAATTACAGTTTGAAAGAAAAAGTAATTTTGTGGATAATGAAGAAAAGTATTATTTTAGACACGATAATAGTTGGAAACTAGAAAATATGAAAAAAGCAAATTTTAAAATAACAGTTAAGGGTGATGGATGGGACACTTTTCAGAATTCTCGAAGCAGAAATGACAGAAATTGGAAACAAAATGAAACTGTATTTAAGAAAGATTTTAGTAATACTTCAGAAGAATGGCAGAGAAATTTAGACCAAAAAACTAATGAAAACTGGGAAGCATTGGATGGCGATAAAAGAAAACAGTCAGATAATTGGAATTCAAATTCTCAAGAGAAATTTCATGGAAGAAAATTTAAATTTAAAAATAATCAAGAAAAGTTTGAAGATACTCAGAATTATTATACAGAAGGAACAAAGGGTGAATTTAGGGATGGAGAAAAACAATGGAATAAAACAAGAAAAAATTCTGATGGTTGGATGGAAGAAGGATGGAATAAATCTAATGCTAAAACTAGAAATGAAAACAGTTGGAGTAAATCAAAAGAAAACTGGACGAAAAAATCGTCAGATGGTTGGGAAGAACATAATAGTTCGTCAACAGAATATAAAAATAAATATTTAGAGAAATCACCAGATCAAAGAAAATCATTTGATGGATGGGAAACTTACAATAACTCATCAACAGAATATAAAAAGTATGCTGAAAAATTATCAGATGTATGGGAAAATTATAACAGCAATATGTCAACTGAAGGTAAAAATAAATATTCTGACAAATTAAGAACAGAAAGTTTTAGAGGAAATAAAAAAATATATAATTCTTCAATGAAATCAAAATTTAATGAAAGTGGATGGGATGGTGAAGAAGAAAGATATGAAAATTCTAATCAGAAAAAATCTCCAACTGGTTGGGAAAACAATATTCATAAAAGAGAAAAATCAGATGGATTTGATGAAAGAAGAAGTGGAGAACGTAACTGGGATTTAAAGAAAAGAGGTGATCGACGATTTAATAATTCAAATGGAAAATGGTTCAGAGAAAATCAGAATAACCGAAATAATCAACGTAAAAACTTTTTTCCTGCTCAAAATAAAGATTTTCACAAGAAAAAATTTGTACATGGTGAAAATGTCTTGGAATCAGTAGATTGGAATGTTGACACTTCAAAACTGGTTATTAGTGATGGCTGGGAATCTTGTAATACAGTTCAATCATTTACAATTAATGCAAATGAAAAAAGTAAGATTGAAACTAATGATGGATGGGAGAATCAACCTAATGACAATCAGAATAAAGGTTTGTCAAATGAACATGATTCATGGATTTCAAATTCAAACTATGTTGATAATTTACAGAACAAAGCATTACTTCCAGAAGGTGAAAATCATGAAGATTCTTGGGAAGATGTTACTACTAGTGGTGGTGAATCATTAGAATTATCAGGACCAAATGATGACATTACTCCTAAAATTAAAGACGATATTAGTGTAGAATCAGATACAGAACATCAATTGATTAAGTGTTCATTTGCTGTTGATGCTGACTTAAAAAATTGTGACAATCAGTTAGATAAAAATGTATATTCTGAAGAATGCTTGAATAAAAAAGACATTTCTTATGAATCAAAAATATGTGAAGAACAAGAAGATTCAAATTTTGATAACTCTGTTGAAAAAGAAGTATCTCAAGATAAAAATGAATACCCCCAGCTAAATTCTGGGGATAATTATGAACAAAGTATTCAAGTAAGTCAAGAAGAAAATTCTATGAAAGACTGTGATAATTTGCTCTCAAAGTCACTAACTCAAAATGAATTTGTAAACTCAACTTTGTCATCGCAACATAGTGAAAAATTTGAACAAAACCCTCGGGATTCATTAATGCAATCATCAGATAATTCGTTAGATTTGACTGTCATAAATTTAGACAATGACAGTCATTCAGATATATTTTCTGTTGAGCAGTGTTCTGATTGTATAGCTGTTGCATTAAAATATTTAGAAAATATAGAAAATGATCCTGTTGACCAGACAGAAATAGAAGATATGGAATATACTTCTCAGAGTTTAGATCTATGTCGAAAAGAAAATAAATCAGAAGACTATACAAATATAGTTGAGAATAAAGAAAGTGCTATTTCTGTAGAACAAGAAATCAGTGAGCAGTATATAGCAGAAATCAAAAATGAAAGTTTAGTGACTGAAGAACACGATAAAATCGTTTATGAAATATATGAGAAAAAAGGGCAAGAAATCTTTATTCAATCCATGGAAGATTCAAATGAAAATACAGCATTAAAAGAATGTGAAAAACTAGAATCATTTCAAAGTGAAGAGCATGAAATAATTAATGAAACTGAAGAAAGTTTAAATTCTGAAGAGAAATATAATGAAATAACTAATGAAAAATTAGACATGATTACAGAAGTTGAAAGTGAAAATAATGCAAATGATAATTCCATAGATCATCATGATGTTAAAGAAAAGGTGCAAGAGACAGATAACAAATCTGAAAATAAAACCAGAGAGGAAAATACAGATTCTGAAAATGCTCATATTGTTGTTTCTGAAACAGTATATGAATCATCCAAACAATTTGTAGATGAACACAAAGAAGAGAGTACCACATCTGAAAATGATTTAAAATCATCGGAAACAAACAAAGAAGCAGGTAATAAATCTGAAAATGAAAATAATGAAGAAAGCACGGCATTCAAAGAAGAAAATTGTCTTAAAACATCTACTGTAGAATATGACATAGATAATAAATTTGAAGATAAAGAAAAGGAATTCAAAAATGATTTTGTTGAAATAGTGGAACAAGAACAGGATTCAAATATGGAATTTGAAAACAGAGAGACAGATATAATACTCAACGAGGAAAATACAAAAATAACTGAAGAAAATAAACAAGATTGTGTTAAGGATTTTGAAAATGAAAACAATCACTGTGAAGAAAAAATTTCCAATCAGACATCTGAAGAAAAAGAAAAGCATGATTTATCTGTTGAAGTTTGTAAAGAAATTAATAATGCTTCTGAAATTAAGGATGAAACTGTAAATTCCCAAACTTCTGAAAATACTTCAGAAGTTTTAGATATTCCTGGTGTAAAAGATAAAAGTAAAGGAATTGGAAATGTTGAAAATTCTATTTTAGATACTGAAGATCAGTTATTGGTAAATAATGAACAAAAATCAATAGAAAATAATTCCACTGTTAAACAAAATACAGATTCCCAACCAATAGCAGAAAATTCAGTTTTACAAGAAATTAGTATAGAAACAGAAAAAGCTCATCTGTCAGAAGTTTCCAATCAAGAAAAACAAAAAGTAGACGATGATCAATTAACACAACGTACTGTGAGGAAAGCATTAGCTACAGAATCTGTGACAGAATTCACAGAAGTATTGGAAGTAACTGCTTCAGTTCCCCCTCGAACAGCTATGCAAGAAGTTGAGAAAAACCCCAATAATTCAGCCTCGGACGATAAAACGAACTCGAGTTGCGAAGATAACGTCGATAAAACAGAATGAAGACCTATTCTTCCATCCAAACTGGAAGTTATCAACAATATAAATCAGTGAAAAGTTAGAAAAATCAAGGATATTAAACAGATGCTTGTAACAAATTATTGCGGAGGGTTTATAGTTCCCAAAGTTTTATAACGCGGGCCGCTCAAGACGTTTCACGTAATAAAAAAAGGAATTTTCTAGTACAAATTTATTTGTATTATAAAAATAGGGGAACTAGAACCAAGCATAAATACGTGTGTGTGTAGATTTATGTTTGATTTTTTGAATTATTTTTAATTGCCAGCTATAAGGTATAGTGGGGGAAAAAAATTATTTATTTTTATGTATGACTGAAAATGTATATGCCAAAGATATAACATAAATGAATATTTTCCATGCTTAAAATGGGGAATCTAAATATATGTTTATAGAAATATAAATATTGCTTTCACAATAAATTTTATTATATTTAACTAATTTTATATTGTAAATTGGTTGGGAACTTCAAAACCAATTTGTTAAAACATTAAATAAAATTTAATCCTTAATCGAATTAATTGTGTGTTCCTTAGTCACATTGGTGCAAAAAATAAAAAAAATACAGTGGACCTGGTGAGTAAATTAGCATTAACTGTCGTTTAGTGTCCCAGATAAATCCTATACTTCGTTGTAGTGATGAGCAACCCGTGCACCTCACGAGGCCCTAATTTGTCAACGTAATATCGGAAAATTCCTAGGATTTTTCGACCCGTTATAATTGATTCCGGATCCCCCAAAGCGATATGCTGTAGCTCAGTCTACTTATATTTCATATGATGCTTAATTTGTTTATAAAAGGATTTGACATTTTAAAATAGTTTTATTTAAAAGTTTATAATTATACATAAAGCAGTTTTTTTTAATTTTGATCACTAAAATTCTTATATTTTTCTTGAAAATTTAGATCGATATCAAACTTCCAAATGAATAATTTTAATACCACAAATCCTGCAAAAAAAATGTAAAAATGGCTGAAATCGTCATTTAATATTTTTTTCTATTATACGTATTATAAAATTAAGTTAGTTTACCTTAGCAAATGGTCAGTTCTCTGAATTGATTACTGGAGGTGGTTCTTGACTTTGTTTCGTGAAATCGGTTTTTTCCATAGCGATTTCCTATCAAAACGAATGGATAAAAATTTATTAATTGAATATTAACAAGAATGATGAAAAAACAATTTTACATTTTTATCGAACAATTTATCATGAAATTCTTTTAAATTATCTGCAACCGAAGACAATCTTTCTAAAGTGGAGGCGTATAACTTTTCCATTTTTGCCAGCTTCAGCTGCATGAGATTTATTTAAAAATACGATAAATACCGATTTAATTATTTCTCTGTGAACATAAAAGAAATAAATTTTACCTCAGTCTGTTGTTTCTCTCGCTCCATGTTTTGATACTTCTGAGTTACATTTTGAAGAAATTCGTCATGTTTGCTGCCCAATTCCACTAGAGAATCTTTAACAAATTAATCATTACTTACAGAACACTATGTACTGTACTTAAAATTTACTGTTGTCTGGAAGATTTTGTGTCACTAGTCACTATGTTCCTTTATATATATATATGTATACACTTAAAAGTACAGTAATACCCCGACTTACGCGAACCCGGAGTTACGCGATTTTCAAATCTCGTCGATTCGTCTTTTGTTTGAGCGCCACGCAACCCTTGATTACTCACCCCCCACAATATTATTCAGTTTACATGTTCGGACGTGTCGCGCGGAATCCACACATAGCTACAATTTATTTTGTGTTATTTATTTCTGTGTGTGTTATATCTACGGAGACTCGAGAGACTCTACTATGTCATCCAAACGAAGTAGAACTAATTCTTCTGCATCAAACAAGAAAAGAAAAACTTTATCTTTGGAATGTAAAGTTAACATTGG